TTGTGATAGTCTTTATTGATGATATTTTGATTTATTTTAGTTCGTCAGAGGAACATGCAGAACATTTAAGGACTGTACTTAATGTTTTAAGGGAGAGACAGTTATATGCTAAATTGTCTAAGTGTGAGTTTTGGCTAGAGGAAGTGAAGTTCCTTGGTCATGTTATTTCAGGTAAACAAAATGCAGTTGATCCTTCCAAAGTTTAAGCGGTGTTGTAGTGGGAAAGGCCGAAGACAGCCACAGAGATTCGTAGCTTTGTGGGCCTAGCAGGTTACTACCGAAGATTTATAGAGGGATTCGCGAAGATAGCTGCACCATTAACACGGTTAACTCGCCATAATCAACCCTTTGTATGGACTGAGGAATGTGAACAAAGCTTTAATGAGTTAAAGCAGAGACTAACTTCCTCGCTGGTGTTGATTCTCCCTGATACTAGTCAACCGTTTGAGGTGTACTATGACGCTTCCCATTAGAGATTGGGATGTGTGTTGATGCAAGATAAGAGAGTGGTAGCTTATGCATCTCGCCAATTGCGAACTCATGAGTGAAATTACCCGATTCATGACCTTGAGTTAGCCGCTGTAGTCTTTGCTTTGAAGTTGTGACGGCACTATCTTTATGGAGCTCAGTTTGATGTGTATAGTGATCACAAAAGTCTGAAGTATTTATTTGATCAGCGAGAGTCAAATATAAGGCAGAGACTTTGGGTGGAATTCCTTAAGGATTATGATTTTTAGCTCCAATACCATCCAGGAAAAGCTAACGTGGTGGCCGATGCATTAAGTAGGAATGTGGTTCAGGCATTCTCCTTAAGAGTTAGTGAAACTCTTTTGGTAGAACAATTCCGAGACCTGAACATACATGTGGACTTATCACCTGAAAAGATTAGTTGTAGTCGAATTGTGGTGACTAATAATTTCTTACAGGAAATTAAAGACAAACAACTGTGAGATCCGATGTTATGTCGGATTGTATTTCTCTTAGGAACATATAAGACAAAGGGTTTTGGTAAAGATGATGATGGTATTCTCAAATGCCAAGGTCGAGTTTGTGTCCCTAGAGATACTGAATTAAAGAGAGCAATTCTAGAAGAAGGACATAAGGGTAATCTTAACATTCATCCTGGTGTTACCAAGATGTATCAAGATTTAAAGCAGATGTTTTGGTGGCCAGACATGAAGCGAGAGATAGCTGAGTTTATTAAAGCCTGTTTGACTTGCCAGAAGGCAAAAGCGGAGCACTAGAGCCCTCAAAGAGAGTTGCAGACGATGGAAATTCCAGAGTGAAAGTGGGACCATGTGACTATGGACTTTATGTCCCATCTACCTAGGACAATTAAAAATCATGATGCCGTGTAGGTCATAGTTGATAGGCAAACCAAGAGTGCGCATTTCTTGCCAATTAACATGACCTTTAGCTTGGAGAAATTAGCAGAATTATACATTAGAGAGATTGTCAGGTTACACGGAGTACCTTCTAGTATTATCTCTGATAGGGATCCTCGATTCACTTCCCAGTTTTGGCAGAGTTTCCAAGAAGCTATGGGCACACAATTGAGGTTGAGTTCTGCATATCATCTGCAGACAGATGGTCAATTTGAGCGTACTATTCAGACCTTAGAGGACTTATTGCGGACTTGTATTATAGAGCAGAAGAGTAATTGGGAGGATATGTTTCCTTTGGTAGAATTCACTTATAATAATAGTTACCATTCGAGTATAAATATGACACCATTTGAAGCTCTGTATGGCAGAAGGTGTAGAACCCCTATCTGTTGGTTCCAAGATGGAGTACATTTGATGGTTGGGCCTGAAATGCTGCAAGAAACTAAGGAGAAAGTTGAACTTATTAGAGAAAAGCTGAAAGCCACCTAGAGTCGACAGAAATCTTATGTTGACCGACGCAGAAGATCTCTAGAATTTAAGGTTGGTGATCACGTATTCTTGAGAGTATCACGCACTACATGTGTGGGGCGAGCCTTAAGAGCCAAGAAGTTAACACCTAAGTTCATAGGACTGTATCAGATATTACATCATAGAGGACCAATAGCCTATGAATTAGCGTTACCACCTCAGTTGTCAGGACTACATAATGTTCTCCATGTGTTGCAACTAAGAAAGTATGTTTCTGATTTGTCTCATATAATTGAGCCCGATGTTGTGGAGTTACGAGATGATTTGTCTGTGGAGGTCCCAGCTGCTCGTATCGAGGATATTAAAGTTAAGGAACTTAGAGGCAAGTCTATTCGGTTAGTAAAGGTTGTTTGGGACCCAGTAACTGGTGACGCCACATGGGAGTTAGAGGAAAGAATGAGAGAGTTGTACCCTCATCTTTTCTCTTAGATTTCTCGCCAGATCTGAGATTCTACGTTTATTCTGAGGGATTTGAAGTAAGTTTCTTTAAGTTTGAAGCTAGATTTACCGTTCATTTCTCTTCTTCTTCTCTTTCTCATAGAAGTTCATGGTGTTCTTAGGAGAAACTCCATTCTAAAGCCAAATCTTCGGTGAATCTTGCTATAAAACAAGTAATATTCGGTAGATCTAGTGTGAATCATTGTTTTGAGGTAAGGGGAGTTTACTTTAACCTATGAACTATGTTTTGAACGGTTTAATATGCTATTTCAAGATGTTTTGATATGATTTTGTTAGATCTATTGAATAAAAGCTATTTTCTAAGCTGTAACTACTGTTAATTAATTTAAAATGCTGAGATTTTGGCTGATCTATCTTAAACTTGCCTTAGCTGAGCTGTTAAAATAATTTTAGCGATGTGCATCATACTGAGATATATGTCTTGCATCATTATAGAGCTGAGTTACATGTTTAGGTGAGTAGACGTGTAACGGTAAGTTCATGCTGAGCTGCTGTGTTGTGCTGTCTAGATCCAGATACCGGAATGGGTCGCTCCCAAACCAGCTCGGTTCCTTTTGGGTTACTTAGGTTGTGAAATCAGTTGGAAACCATTTTCATGTTGTGCATTAGATGGGCTGGTAATGCATGGGGCTGTTGCTGTGAATAATGTTTTTGTTATATATATACGATTTTAGTTTATTTTGTAAGCTCACCCTTGCATTTTTTTCTATGTCGTTGTGTGCGTGTGTACTGCGATGACCGTACGGTGGTACGTGGGCAGATGTAGCAGGTATTGGATCTACTTCACAGGCTGAGGGGCCAGTGGAGAAATGTTAGAAGCTGAAGTCGAGTAATATTGAATCAACATTTTTTTTCCTTATATTTTGAAACATCATGTAGAGGAAGCTACGTAGTATAATTTTGTGTATTTTGAATATTATAAACTAAATATAATATTATGTTATTCTGTTGGATATTTGTTGTAAGAAACTTTGTTTTATTTTGAATAAGTAGTGAATTTCATACTTATATTCTCTATTATTTATTTATCTTAAATAAGTATGTGATGTTGAAACAATGTTCTTAGTTCCTTACAAAAAGGGGTCGTGACATACAAGGCTCCCATATCAATAACATATTTTGGTTTGGACATTTGTTAGTATAATCGAACTAAAAAAGGAGCTATTTTCATAATTACTATGCTTGTTGTTAAAATTAAGTTTGCCTGCCTAGGACTTGAGGTTGTCCATTGATTCTTTTTCCTTTTGCTACATTTTGGTTAAAGGGTTGAAGGAAGATAGTGCATCAAGCTGTTCGCAAAGGCTACCTTGATTCTCTTCTCCAGGATCTCAAATGAGAAAATTCTAGAAGATCCCCGACTCCAACTACCATCCATGTATAACCCATACTATATTTAACCAACTGTCCATCCTACTTTTTTTACATTTTTGATAGCTCATTTTTGTCTCAGTAATTTTACACAATTTTTTTTATCATTTATTTCATTTTTTCTTAAGCAAACTCTTTTTTATTTAAATGAAAATGAAATTGGATTCCGTATTAATGAGAGAGTCTATATCCCTAATAAAGACGAATAGTGCATTACATGAGACATTAAATAATTACATTGAATGAAAGAAAGTGGGTTTGAATTCTTAACAAAATTATAATTTTAGGATTTTAGACTCCTCAAAATTTGAGTTTATGTAATCTAATATATGCATAAATTTAACTTTAAATAATTAATTTATCAATTTATATTCATAATTTTCTTATTTATATATTTTTTTAATTTTTTGTTAACATATGTGCCTTTTTAATTTCAACTAATTTTGAATTTGTAATTCAAAGTATTTAATACTGTTCCACGTCGAACATATGAGCTTTTTATTTCAAATTTATTTTCACTAATTTGCAACACTTTTTTTTTGTTGCACATAAGAGGTTAAGAAAAAGTGAAGAAAAACTAACAATTAACCATAACCATAGCTGATAGATAATTAACGAAAACGTGTAAAATAATAAGAGAATTACAGATAAATGCACAACCGTAGGTTGCATTCTAACTCTAATAACTTTTCTCTCAATTTTAAGGACTCATTTTCATTTTTGTAAATAAGACAAAATAAATTTAATCATTTTAGACCTTTATTCGTGTAAGATGAGAGTTCAATGTCAAATATTTTTTTTTTTTAATTTTAATGAAACAATTAACATTGATAAAACAAAATAAAAGAACGTTTATCACTTTAAAATAATATTGACAATAATAAAACATATAAAAGAGCGTTAATACAGAAAATTTATATAGAAAATCGTACATATAATTTTGCTTACTTTGTATTATAGAAAAATAATATTTGATGAAAATAAGAGAGTATTTAGAACTTTGAACGTAAAAAGGGTTAATTAAGGAATGATTCTAATAAATTTTTAACATAATGGTAGTCTTTGGTTTTGGATTAATATTAAGAAATTTATTAAGAAAAAAATGATTAAGCAAATTTTAAAGTTTGAGTTATTGCAATAAAAGGATACATTCGCCCACCATATTCCGGATAAGATTGCAATTCATCGTCAACTTTCCTTTTCCCCCGTGTACGATTTCCTTGTATTTCTCTTTCGGACTTTCAAATGGTTTTGTTTGGTTTTGGATATTGTATTCGATGTTTCCTATGTAATCTTTCATGTTCCAAATTTGAACTTGGTTTTGCTGTTCAGAGTTAATTATCAGCTACCCTTTTGCCAATTGCTTAGTTTGGTGGCATTTGTTCGGTGAATTTGGATCTTTTTATATCAAAGTTTTTTGGGTCAGCATTGTGTGCTCATGGTGGTGAGGTTTAACCCTTTTTGTCTCAGACTCTCTCATCAACCTCAGAACATTGTATATTTCTCTAAACAAGTGACAATTAAGTGCAATTATGGGAAACACATGAAAAGGGGTGAACTTGGAAGGCCCCAGATAGTGTTGCCTTCTGGTTTGGGGAACAGTACTGAAGGGTTGCGTGTGTTTGTGGTGTCCGATTTGCATACTGACTATGCTGAGAATTTGAAATGGGTGGAGTGTTTGTCCTCTGTGAAGCTCAAGAATGATGATGATGTGCTTCTCGTGGCAGGTGATGTGGCAGAGACATATTCCATGTTTGTTGTCACAATGTCTCGTTTGAAAGAAAGGTTTAAGCATGTCTTTTATGTTCCTGGGAATCATGATCTTTGGTGTCGTCGCGAGGGGCAAAATTATGTAAGGTCATTGTACCCTGATCACGAGGTCTAAGTTCATGCATTGTGTAGATTATTTGACACAATCATATTTGTTAGTAGTTAAAACTTTTTGGATTATTGGTTCTTAATGATATTTGTTGCATTGTTAGAGTGCGTTTGAATAACAACTTAATTAAGCGCTTATTGGATAAGATCTATGGTATAAGGAGAATATATCATAAATTAGACCATGAAACTTACTGACATAAGTTGAAAATAGTTTATGAGAATTATAAACTATTTTCATACTCTCTTCCAAACGTGTTCTTAATTTTGTATGCGTAATCATTTTTCCCATGGTTCATGACTGAGTTTATATTTTGAGACACAACAGATGCATGTGACTTGCATTAGGAGAGAATTGTGGCCTAATTCAACCATTATTTGTAAATTGATGCTTTTGGTTTTACTTTGTTAAGAATTATGAATTCTAACTGTGTGTTAAATTTGGCTTTGGCCATGGTTCAGTCTGAAAAATGAGCTGCTATCCCCTTACTTGATTAATCAATAATGCAGAATATCCCTGCAGCTTCAAGGTCAGAACCTAAGTTCTAGACTAGTGACTTTATTTCTGTGTGTGGTGTCACTAGATTGTGGTTTCCATGTAAACTAACTCCCCACCAAAATTTGAAAAAAGAAATGGCAAGGGTTTTAAACTTTGTTTTGGGATGTTATTTTGTTAGTTCCATGAACATTATTTTCAGGTATATTTTTCACATGTTTTCTACCGCATCCTGATTTTCCGTTGGATTTAATTTCACTGGAAATTGCAGATCACTTGATGCGTGTCTTTTTAGACATGATATTGGAAACTTGACTTACTTCTGCTATCCTATTTCGATTAATTTTAATGCTTTGTATCACCTATAAGCTATTGGTGTTTATACTTGTTGAATCCTTTCAATCTTTGTTGCAATACTTTGTTCTGATAAAGATTTTGCTTATTTTTGTTCAGGTTGATTCTCTTGAAAAGCTGAATAAATTGCTTGATGCGTGTAAGAGAATTGGAATTGAGACAAATCCGATGGTTATAGATGAATTAGGAATCATTCCTTTGTTCTCTTGGTACCATGAGGTGATTACTTTTGTAGTGTCATACTGTCAACTTTTAGCTCCTCAATCTTATATACCATATGTTGGACTGAATCCAAAGTTTTCCTTTAGGGCAATTTATTTAAATGCTCAACGTGCTTGTTTCACAGAGCTTTGACAAAGAGAAGGACATAACAGGCTTTCGTATCCCGTCTTTGGAGATGGTGACTATCTTTAACTCCTAGTAAGCCTTTTAGAAAAAGTTGATTGATGATCTCATAACATGCTTGATTTCCTATGGTGCTTGATTGAGGACTGTTGCACATGAACTGAGTCTAATTTCTGTTTTCTGTAATGCGCTTCTGTATGATTTTGACAGTGGGTATGTTATGTTATTCATGAGCAGAATGTCCTATAATCATGATCCCAAAATGATGTTGCGTACTGTTGTATGAAAATACCATGGTTGTGCTGGTTTGGTAATTACTATCTATCACTATGCCGAAATAGTTATCTTAGTGTTCTGAAAGAGTTTGTCTTACGTTTGATAAAAAATTGTGCAGTCATCCCATAACCTTCTTTAATATGGTTGGTTCTTCGATATGAGTTTTTACTATCTATCACTAGGGAGGGAGGGTCATGCTAAGGGCATAAGATTAAGGAGTTTAGCTAGTTGTTTGAGGCTAGGATTTTCAAATCAAGTCCTGATGAAACAATATACTGAGTGACTGTGTTGAGGTTCGCATACCTATTTGTTTTTGGCACATGCCGAGGGATGTAGCGATGAGCCAAGAATACTCAAAGCAAAAATCAAATGTGATATAGACCATGGTAAAGACATGGTACATAAGATAAGAAGAAGCAGAATACCACAGCTTTTCATATAGTGTGTGGAAAGCCTCCCTAAATGTATGCACTATTCAGTTATTTGGTAAGATAGAGCACAAAATCAGAGGAAAGCACTTGGAAGATATCAGCCAAGAGTTTGTGAGAGAGCTGTAATGTGCTCTGATCAATTACATATACAAGATAATGTAGGTTGGTTGTTCTTTTGTTGACTGTTTTTAAAGTTGTTATACAAAAGCAATCTCAAACATTCACTTAACAAGTCAGACTTTTGGGAGAGTTGATCCATAACATGTTATTCAAAGCTTATGATTAAGTGGTCAGGAGTTTGATTCTTGCTGCCGTCATGTTTCTTTTAAAAAAAAATGGATTTAAATTTCAGCAAATGGTAAAATGGGCCTGTGCTTTGTTGACACTTCAAGTACTCTTTCTTGTGAGATTGTCCTTCATAGTGGGGAAGTAGTAAATTAAAGTAAAAAGAAGAGACAATGTTCTTGGGTTTTTTTGGTGTTGGGGATGCCCTTCAATCTAGCATTTATGACATGAATGGAACTAACAATGAGGTTAAATTTTCACTCTATTATATAACTAGGTTCTCAACATACAATTAGGAAAATTATTTTTTTACAGTTCCTTGTGCCTGCTTTTGATCAAGGTCTACATGTAAAGGTTATTGTAGGAAAATTCTTCTTTAATAGCATTTTAGTATTTATATCTTTATATTGCTATATGTTAATCCTAATTTTAGTGCTCAATTAGATGGATATTGATGTAAATCTGTACATTTCCCCCCCTTAGGCATGTAAAGACTTCTATGCCTGTAAGTGGCCCAAGGAACTTTCAAATGGAGATATGTCCCTGGCTTTACATTTTGATGCCATGAATGATAAACAAATGGAAGTGATAAAAGAGATTCAGATGACATGCAATCACATCATTACCTTTTCTCACTTTGTTCCCAGGTGATTATTCTGTCATTTAAACTGTAACTTCATTACTTTGCTTAAATAATCAATTATCATTGCTTCTATGCATGTATGATGTATTGTTTGAATAGAGGTGGTATAAGTTATAACAACATATGTAAACATGTTATGAGAAATGATTATGATGCAGTAGTCCTTTACTCCATTATTGTTTCCCTAAACTTGTATAGGAATTAATTATTGTGCAGTGTTTAATTGACAACATATGTAAACATGTTATGAGCATGTTTGATTTCTGTTTTACAAACAGTTTTCTATTTTTAAAAAATAAAATATAATATAAATTTGTATTAGATTTTATTTTTGAAAACAGAAAACTGTTTTTAAAACCAAAATCAAACATGCTCTTAATTCCCCCTTTTTAGTTCTTTCATTACAAGACTTTGGTTTTCTGGAGAAATTGAAAGTGTTTGTAGATTTGATACACATTACCTGATTACATGATACGGGTTGTTGTGTAAAATATTTTGGATGATTGGCTTGAAATTTTTGTACCGGTTACTTGTGTAGTCTATGGTGCTATTTGATGTGGCCATCTGCTCTCTTATATATTGGCCCTGCATCATGTAAAGGAGAGCTCACTCCTTAAAAACAAAATGATGAAGCTATGTGATCTTGCAATTCTGAACTGAAGATAATTGGTTCAAAATTTTTTGCCTAGTTTTCAATCTGTAAATGATGCAAGGAAAAGTAAACAAAAACAAACAAACAAGAAGGAAAATAAAAGGAAGATTTGTAAAACATGTTGGTGGTGTTCCTAATTTCTAAAATGGGGGAGGCTAAGATAATGACTCTATAATCCACTTGGTGACATGTTATCTTATGGACACCAAAATTTATATAAAGGAAAATGGCCTATAATGCATGATTGCCATGATGAAAAGCTACAACAAGTTGTGACCTAACACCATAAGGCAATGCTATTTTGTGATATGTCTCCTGGTGCTTGTGGAGCAACTTAAAGTGCATCACTAGTGTGTTTGTGTCACTTCAAGAGATGAACAATATGTTGATTTGTTCTGATTATATTGCTTGTGTATGCTTTCATGCTTCACAGGCAGGAACTTTGTCCCGAGAAGAGGATGTTATTTTATCCCAACCTTCCAAAAATAATTGGTTCAGACTCTCTTGAACATCGAATAAGGTTTATACATGGGGCTAAGGGAAGGAGGAATGCATCTTCTTGTCATGTGTTTGGTCATACTCACTTCTGTTGGGATGTTGTTATTGATGATATCAGGTATTTTAATTTTATTTTATATATCATTATTATTATTATTTACTTTTGCTTAAATGAGAGTGAAAATTGTGGAATTTCATGAATGATACTGTATTAGGAACTTCTTTGATGTTTATCATGCCTTAAAATCACAAAAATAAGTTTAGTTAATAATAAATAACCGATGCTGTTCTTTAGACGTTTTTTTTTTTTTAACAGTTTGAGTTGGCATAGAAAATTTGTTAGTGCTATTTCTTTAATAACTATAGGAATCAATGAAATTCTCAGTTTTCTTTAATCCAATTGCTATACATTGCTACATGCTTTTGACACAATTGCAGATATGTACAAGCACCCTTAGCATACCCAAGGGAAAGAAAGAGAAGAATGAATGGAGGTGAAAATTGGCTACCATTTTGCCTTTATGCTGACAAGAAATTTTCTGATAGGCTCAACCCTTGCTATTGGTCTGATTATTACTCTGCCAACCCCAGGACGCCAAATAATACTGAACTTGCTCCTTGGGTCGCTAGATTTTACAAGAAAACAGAAAATATAGATGTCTAGTGTTTGACTATTGACATTATTAAGTTAGATTCATTCATAATTTTTTGGATATAAAAGAAGATTGTCCCTCTAATATATTGTTTGCTTTTTATTGGAATATTAGTTTGTGTTTAGGATAAATAGCATGCGTATTTGACAATGAGGAAGTCATACTCCAATACAAGTAAAAAACACGTTTTATTTCATTTATCAAAAACAAAACCACGTTTTGTTTCGTCCTATTCTAAAAGGAAGAGCTTATTTATAAAAAAATCTCTTATTAGTCTCAAGTTATTTTTCAACTTCAAAAAAATAAAAACCTTGCCAAATAAATTGTGTATCTAAAGTCATTAACACATCTACTAAATATTACATTAATTTGCTTGCAAGTATGCGGATGCCAATTACAATACAAAATAGGGTTTCACATTTTATTCAATATGTGTAGAAGACAAAATACAACAGCTACACACATACTAGGCACTCGGAGTTGAAACCCCAAAAACAGAAAAATAAAAATGCATATGCAAGAGCTATTAGACAACTCAAGCAGAAAGGTAGTAAAAATAATAAAAAAGATAACACAAGCATACCCTTATATTTTAATAAATACACAAACGCAACTAGTAACACGCCTATTTTGATACACAAAAGCAACTAGTAATCTTCAGGAGCCAATGGTTGGTGTGTATGAGGGGGCTCAGTTGGGATCACAACATATTCATACAAGAGTGCTGCCAGTGCTGCCCCAATCAATGGGCCCACCCAGAAGATCCAGTGGTAGTGCCATCTCCAGCCCACCAAGGAAGGCCCAAAAGCCAGTGCTGGGTTCATGCATGCCCCATCAAATGCCCCACCAACAAAGATGTTTGCCCCAACAATGAGCCCAATTGCTAAAGGTGCAATGTTGCTAACAGCACCCCTTTTTGGATCAATTGCAGTGGCATATACTGTGTACATAAGCCCAAATGTCATGATAATCTCAAGTATAAGCATGTGTACAGCTCCAACCCCCGGAGCCACATGGAACCCTGATGGTCTCTACAAACAAACAACCATAACCTGTCAGATTTGATTGAAAGTTCAATTTTTTTTATGTCAATAATATCCAATTTTGTAGTTACCACATTAGACTACAATAATCAGCCACAATAACATATCAATTTTCCCCACCTAGTGGTTTGGTTGCTAAATTTTGTGAGTATATGTTTACAATCTTGTAGTTGATGAATGACACTATGACGATTAATGATGAGTTTGTCTCTAGTTTTTTTTTTTTTAAATGATCTAGTAGCTAAAATATTAAAAATAATATTTTTTCAAACTTTTGAAATAATATTTCTCAAAATTAATTTACAAATTGAATATATTTTTATCCTTTAAAATATGTGGGATATATCACAATATATCAATATTAATTTATATAAACTTTTGTAACATATGTACCAAACATGTGTCAAGTGTTAAATTTATGTCACATATTATTAATTCTTTGTATTCATCATCCTTAATGAATCAAGTAAGTTTGTTTTTCTTTGTAAAATTGGTTCTGAAAAAGTGGGATATGATTTACCATGTTATTAGTGACAAGCCTGAGTAAGAGTGCAGCAACTATAGAACCCAAAAGTTGAGCAATCCAATAGTATATGGCACGAAGCACAGAGATCCTGCCCCCAAGAAGAGCACCGAATGTCACAGCCGGGTTGACATGGCCACCAGACACATGCATGCTAGCAGACACTACAGCAAAGAGAGCAAAGGCATGTGCAAGTGCAATTGCCACTAATTCACTTGCTGAGAAAGCTGCATCCTTGTAAATCTTAACTGCCGCAAGGTGAAAGCATACAAATCACCCTCACCATTCACCATGCATGCATAAAAAATAACTAGCATATTCATAACATGCATGTATAAGATGATAATAAATTAGTTACTTAGTTAGATATTAACATAAAAGTACAAAGATCCAAATCAAAATCTAACCTACAATAAATATGTGTGTGTGTGTGTACTTTTCATCTTTATAAATATGAACAAATTTAATTTTAAAATTTTAAAAATATTTTAATTTATAAATTTTAAATTTATTAACAATAGTATCTCTATTTTGTAATAATATGATATGTAACGATGTGATCTCAAATTGAGATAATAAAAAAATAGCATGTATAAATACATACTATGCTATGAATAAATGATAATATAAAGTGTTTTTAAAAAGTTAAAAATTTATAAAAATCAAACCCAACAAAAAAATAAAATAAAATTTAATCATGCTAGAAGTATATTTTACTTCTATGAAATGACAAGATTATTTCTAGTTATTTAAGTATAAACTAAGCTCGTTAAGCATGCAAGGAGAGATTGAGTATGTACAAACCCAAAGCAAGGCCAGAGCCTTCTCCAGCAAAGACAAAGATGAGAGTGGAGGCAAATTCAGCTAAAGTGGCCCTCATGGAGTCAGGATGAGTGGCCTCATCTACCCTTCCAAAAGCATATCTACGAGTTGACATCACTACAAACCTTTCTCTACAATTTCCTTAGGACTACCAATCAAGATGAAAGTTCTTGATCCAACTGAGATTGTGTTGAGACTATTTCAGAAAAGGGTCTTCTTAATATGTGACAAATGAAGTTGAAAGGGGAAATTTGAAAGGTGGCAAATTTTGGAGCAATTGAGGCTAAAGGAGGACCTTTTGCATGGCTGAAAAGTGGAGTGATTGTGCTTATATGAGGAAACTAGGTGTTGGATTTAGGTGAGACACCTAAGTCTGTGGAATGCTAAATGGTTGACACGTGGTGCTATGCGTTGGCTGCTTTTTACAATTTGTGTCGTTCTTTATTTTCTACACATATCTATCAATTTACAACAATCACCTTTGTTTGGTTGCAAGGGTTATGTTGATCCTGATTTTCTCAACAAGGACAAAAACCAAAGTGTAGCTACCAGCTATGTCTTGCGGTTACGGTTTAAGAGCCTTGTCTGATTCCTGTATTGAAGTATGAGTTTTCTTTTTATTAATGCTACATGAGGAAAACTAATTATATTCTATTTTTGTATCATTAAATGTAAACATTACTCCTGTTTATTGTTATACATCAACAGATTGTATTAACTACATAAAGAGTTTAAGAAGTTTTACTAATTAATTACATAATTTCACAAAAATTATCTGTACAATATTTTCCTTCATTTATTAATGCTGGATCTTACTCAACCTGTCAAAAGCAGAGGTTGCAAATTATTCCTGTGGATGAGGTGGACGTTTCCATGCATAACTTTGCTTGTGGAGTGTATCGCATGTGAAGAAGCTTGACTGGCCCAAAATCTTTGACCCAGTTCAAGTCCATCATATTCTCTGACAAGTTCTTGGGTTTGGTTAATTCTGGCATTTAATTTTTTTATGTGCTAATATTACACTTTAACTACTAGAAATGACCTCTTTCTCTTCAAACCCAAATGCTTAACTGAGTGTGTATGATCTTTTTTTCAAATGGTATGATCGAACGGAAAGGATAAACATTCTTTCATCCAATAAATAGCTCAACATAACTCTGAGAAAAAAAAAAAAACCGTACAACTGGAAAGGAGATTCTTGATGATTTTGAATAAGACATTTTCAATCTCAACTATAAATAAATTGATACTTTTTTTCTATTTGGTACAAATTCTATCACCATGTCTTCTAATCCTTACTAGTGTGTCTTCTAATGTAAATATATATATATATATATATATATATATAAAGAAAAAGAAAACAATGGAAATAATTTTTCAATGTCAAAGAGATTTGTATCTCTTCTGTAAAAAATGTTCTCCGTACATACTGTTATATGCAATTGTTAAGCATTATCTCATTTGGATAATGTGTCATATGAATTAAGTGTTGAGATGCTCTTCATGCAAGACAAAAATACATCCTGCTGCAGTGACTTCATTTTCTTTCAGTCATTCTCTTTTTTCATTTGCTCTATCTCTTCTATTCTCATCAAAACTAGACTCATTTTAGGCCGTTTCTCTGGTGTCATATCTGTACACTCCAGAGCCAACTCTGTTAGCTTCAACATTGCATCATGTCCTTCTCTTTCTGCTAGTATTTCTAAATCCAATATATCTGTGGACCAATCATTGTTCACCACTGTTCTTACCCAATCTGAAAGATCATTATTGGTTGTTTCTTCAATTTCACCAATGATCTGACCAGGAATTTTGCCAGTTATTATCTCTAGCATAATGATACCAAAGCAATAGACATCAGCTTTGTTTGTTAGCTTCTTCCCTTTAACAAATTCTGGTGACCTTTTTATGGCTAACTTTTCTGCATTCTTTCTAATTGGGAGTAGAGGTAAAAAGCCATAGTCTGTGAGCTTGGAATGATAACCTTTGCTATCTTGATGGATTAGGACATTGGATGATTTGAGGTTGGCATGAGGGACCTTGTGAGAAGGCAAAGAATGATGAAGAAAAGCAAGACCCTTTGCAATGTCTTTGATAATGGTTAGTCTTGTGGTCCAATCAAGAGGTATTCTTCCCATTCCTCTACCCTCTAGCACCAGAAGATTATGAGTTAGTGTATTAATTCAGTTAATTTTGTGTTAAGGAAGGAAAGAATAAACAAAACTAACCATGTAGGAGTTCAAACAAAGTTCCATCAGAGATAAGTTCATATATGACCAACTTTTGTTCCTCTGAATAATAAAAGGAGATAATTTCTACAAGATGTTCATGCTTCATCTGTCCTAGCAATTGCATCTGGTGGAGAAATTCTTTCTTGCTCACTTCATTCATGTGGCTCAGTCTCTTTACTGCAACAACAGTTCCAGATTCAAGTGTTGCCTTGTATGTAATACCCAAATTCCCTCTTCCTAGCACTTCTGCTGATGCCCTTAATAAGTCATCCAAGTCAAAAACTGGCAATTTCTTGTTGGAAAATTCCAATTGGCCTAATCTTTCAGAAACATCACTGTTCGCTGCCATCCTTTTTGCCCATGCCCCAAAAACATAATCTATAAGAGAAATATAAAAATGTCAAAACATTTGGAAATCCTGAACCAGGTTGAAACTTCACTTTACTTTATGACATTATAGGTTTATTAGGCGTATGTTTTTCCCATTTTTTTCATCCTAGAAAGCTTACACAAATAGCATTATAGTTAGCTGTTAAGAAAACAAATGGTAGGATTGACATGTATGAGATCTATCTTACTTGCTGAATCATTTCTTGTTGCTTCTTTTTCACTTGCTCGTCTTTTAGGAAACAAGAAAGCAATAATGATCAAAGAAAGAAGAACCACTGCAGCTGCTACACTAATCAAAGCAATAATCCACACTTGAAGCTTCTTATGTTTTTTCACTGCTGGGCTAGGTGGAATAACACCAGGAGGTGGTGCTGGAAATGGGGCTGGAGCAGGAGCAGGAGGTTCAACTGGACACAACTTATCCAATGGCTTTCCACAAAGATCTGAATTATTGTCAAATGAACTCTCAGGGAACCTTTGGAGCACAGAAGTTTCAGGAATCTTTCCTGAAAGATGATTATATGACACATTGAAACTTGACAATGATGGTTGATCAAAGGGTGGAATTTGACCATCTAAGTAATTTTCTTGCAGCTCCAAAACTTGTACACTAGGCAATTCAACATACTCCACAGGAATTGACCCTGAGAAATGATTAAAAGAGAGTAAGGCTTGTTGCAAAAACATCAAATTCTTAAGACTTGGCAGTGGACCAAAAAGTTCATTGCTTCTCAAGTCAAGCTGGTTCAAGAAAGTTATGTTTTGAAGGAAAGTAAGAGGTAAATAGCCACTAAGGTTAACTTCTACAAGAACAATTTGAACAACATGCCAATTGGAACATGTGATACCAAGCCATCTACTTTGATTGTCTATACAAGGAGGGCCTGTCCAATTCCCATGCAAATTGACAGAAGAATTTAAAGAATCCCTTATGAGCATCAAAGCATCTCTTTCTTGTGGATAGAACTCCTCAATTTCAATACACAAGACCATGTTTAATGACACAAACAACAAAATCACATAACAAAAGCTTATGTTAAAGACCAAGCTCATGATGGTGAATGCAGAAAACAGCTTATCATGGGTTTTAGAACCAATCAAGCAGTGTGAATAATATCACACCCTCTTTTGTTGATCATAAGATTACTGTTTGACGAAGTTGACAAGGTAAAGGTTGTGCTGAGATGTTGATCATCATAATGTTGGACACGAGCGGTCTGAACAAGGTTTTGCATTTTCTTTGTCATTATTATATTATATTAATATATTATACTAATTATAGTGACGCAAGGTGACAGCTTTCATATAGGATCTTGCATGATATATTTTTTTACTTTCTTATTTGATTACTGAGTTGTTCATTAATAAGAAATATGCTTGTTGTTTCAACTAGAGTGACTTCGTGGGAAGCAAGGAATGTCAATGATCATTAATTTGGACATTTTTCTTGGTTCCTTACCCTGTCAACCTTATTTTATCCAATTGTTTGTTCCAACACTCTAAATGCATTTTCTCTAGGTGGTTGGCCATAGCAGCCCAAAATTTATGGTTGGTACTTGGTAGAATAGCATGATTGTTATACACATGATTTTATAGGGATAAAGATAAAATGGTTTGAAAATATTTCTTATGAAGTGCCTAAAAACGTAAATGTATTGATTGGGGTTATTTAAGTTACCCCAATAAATAATCCCATTGTTTTTTTTATCAATTACATATATCCCCTCCACTAAAAATAATCATATTTAAATTGGATAACATTATTATGAGCGATAAAACTCTTTATTTGAATAAATAATTTTATGTTAAGTAAACTAATAAGTTTTTGTCTATAAAAATAAATGTACTTTTTTATATAAAATTTTAACTTTATTAATTTACCTAAAATAGAATTATTTATCTTATAAGATAACTTAGACAAACCTGTATTATTTTGGTAAAAATTAATTTAGGAGTTGGATTGGACCCATCGAATATGATCAGTTGAAATCTGATTGGTCAAATCTCAATTGTCACTTTTCATAAAAATAATTTTGGAACTAAATAGCGTTACTGATTTTGGAGACATTGTATTACGTTGTTTATTTGAATCAATTTCAGTTTAAAAAATGTTACAAAGGAAATTAATTAACAGATATATAATGTAAATAAAAATATTTATTACGGAAACTTCATGGCTCCAATTTTATTAATAGTGCGTTGAGAAACAAATGATCGTGTCTATTAAAATATTAATGTTAACAATTTTCTAAAAGTGGCTCAAAGAGCAGCTCAGTGTGCTGTACCAATAATTGTGAAGACTTAATCCAATTTCAAGGCTAAAAATAACAAAGGTTTCGTGGAAGATAAACTAAATTTTTAATTAGTCGCCATCAATTTGTGGATACGCATTCTATTAATCAATTTGATAATGCCATCACTTCAGCCTATAATTGGGCTATAGAATCATTTATTGATGATTATTATAGTAATCGAAATATTATTTCACATTTGTCTTGTCGCATGGCTCTTGCTAAATTGTATCTACGCTTACTAAATTAGTATAGATAATCGAATTATACTTAATAATGTTTTGATTAGACTTTTACTTTAACTTTTGAGATTTGCTTTTTCCAATGTTTTTATAATCCCTGTTAGGGCATTTGTTTATTTTTTTGTTTGTAAGATGCATTTGTTTCTTTATAGTTAGTTTTATCTTAACCATATTGTAAGTATATGAGAGTTTAAAATCAATTTTAGGATTAGGCATAATACGTTTTCTAAGATGTAACATTCTCTGTATGTGTATGCTTTTTTCTTCCCTGTTCCAAGATGCTTAGTCAAATTTAGATCAAAGAATTATTTTGCTCTTCATTAATTATATTACACTTAAGAAATAATTTAAGTTTTTTTTCTTTTACCTTTTCCTTTTCATTGGTCAGTGAAGCCTAAAAAAGGTTTTATAAAAAAAAGTATATACTTGGAAGTAAAGATTTTTTTTTGTAAAATTAATCTAATATAATGAAAAAATTATATTACCATCAAGGATTAGAGATATATCATCTAGTTAAGGGTAACTAGGATAAATTTTGCATTTTTCTAAACCTTTTCCCTCACCACTATTGTTACCATTAATTATTATTTTTTCTAAAAAAGGGCTTAGGTAGTGTGTTTTACATCTGGTTTTATAAAAGGTTTTAAGAAATTTATTTAAATATAAATATACTATTGTCTAACTTTATTAAAAGATTGTTTAAACTTAGACTATTCACAATCTTTATTTTTTTTTCAAAATTATCAAAGCACACCTTCTTTTGAAAATAACGTGTCATTTTGAAAAAGGTTAAAAAATACGAGTCAACCCTCCTTTTTCTTGTGCTTCTAATTTTTTCTTTCAACACAGAATCTTGGCTATGAATATTTGCAAAGAGAGCAGAGAGAACGAATAAAAATATGGTTTTGAGCTAGTTGGGTTTTCATGGATAAGAGGCTCATTGGATTTGTTTCAAGTTTGGTAGTAATGCTAGGCCCGTTGAATTTGTGTACAATCTACTAAGAGGTCTGACAATAAAAAAAAGTACCAAGTGAGATGGCTAGAACCAACCACCCAGAAGAGGAAGACGACGTATCTCTAAAGGTAAAGGTATGTTTAGAATAGTAAGTTTGAAAGAGAAGAATATATTTTAAAATTAAAAAATTATTTATTATTTATTATGATTATATATTAAACTTATATTAATATCTTAATTTATATATTTTGTTTTAAAAAATAATTAATTTTAAATATATTTATTTAAAATATAAAATATTTTTATTTTCCTTTCCTCTCAAACTTCTTCTCAACTAATTCTTAAAAATACTCAAAGATTAAGAAAAATAGTCTATATATCATCCACTCATGTTGTACAACTTCACCACTATCTAAATCAACACTAATCTCATCACTAACAACAAAAATCTCAACACTAGCACTTGTATTCACACTACCACTTACTTTTACTCTTACTACTTCTTTACCATCTTCTTCTCCTTCTTTCAACCTTACTTTTGTCATTTGCAATGTCTTTTCTAAACCCCACCCTTTCCCCTTTAATACTACCCTAATTTCACTTTGTTTTTTCCTTCATAACTTTTGAAAGGGAGTTACAAGTTAAGCATTGCCAATTGCAAAGTGGTATACTCTCGCACCATATTAACATGACTAGCCAAATCCAATGGAGGCTAAACAAAATCATTGGTATCAAATACGAAGGTTGCACCTAAACCTATCAATGACTTTGAGTCACCATTGAAACTCCAAACTTTGGCATCATGTTACGACTCACGAAAATAAAGCAATAGAACCAAGGATTAAAAGTGCACTTTCATGGGCGACTAATTATATTATTTAACAGATGATAGAATTTCCTTTAGTTAGTTATGTTATCTTATCTTTAGCTTAGCTTATTTTAGATTTAGTTATTTACATATATCATTATTAGTTTATCTTAAAGACACAAGATTAGGATTTAGTTAGCTTGTGTCTTTATAAATAAGTCTATTATGCAACTTTCAATGGCATGAGCAATCTGAATTAATTTAAGAGATTGTCTCTTATGGAGTTTCGGAGCTTGACTCAAATAAAGGTCTAACATTGGTGCTTTCATTGACTTGTTCCATGGCTAACTGAACTTGACGTAGCAAAACTGAGAGTGAGTTGTCTCGTATTGAGGCACAAAACTCAAGTTTCCAAGAGCGCATGGAAGCACAAATGACCCAATTTATGTCTCTGTTACAGAAGAAGAAATCAGATGATGAAGACCTTGACGTCGAATCTACACACTCGATTCCGCACAGCCCGCTGCGTTCTTCCATTGCACACATATCCACCAAAGATTTCAAGATTGATCTTCTTAAGTTCGACGAAACCGATGTCGATGATTGGGTTTTTTGTTTAGAGGAGTATTTTTATGTTGCAAAAACTCCCTTGGAGCAACGTATCAAAGTTGCGAGTTTTCACATGATAAGACCTACCTACGCTTGGTACAAGTGGATGATCCGTAATGATTACACTTAAGATTGGACAATCTTTGTTGACACGTTATACAAACGTTTTGGCTCAAACCTGTACACCAACCTGCAAGAAGCACTCAAGGAATTGAAACAACAAGGCACAGTAAAAGAATATCAAACCCAATTTGAGGCTCTCTCCACTAGAGTCAATGGCTTGACAAAACAATGGCTTGTTAGCGTCTTTATGGCTGGTCTCAACGATTACTTAAAGTGTCAATTACGGCTGGCCAAACCACCGTCTTACCATGAGGCACTTGCTCTAGCCTTGCTCCATGAACAATATTACGCCGCTTTACAACAATCATTGAAACAATTGTCAGATTTTTCTCCTATTTCTACTCGACCCAATACATTCCGAACCCCTGCCACACAACCAGCTACAACCCCTGTCAACCGGCCACCTGCTTCGAACTCTACCTTTTCCAACAAGAACCGTGACTTTTCCTCCATGTCGATCCCACAAACTCTTGTCGCCAGCCAAACAATGACTAAACCTTCGTATAAACGTTTTACTACAGTAGAGTTGCGTGAATGGTGTCGTTTAGGACTTTGTTATTATTGCAATGAGAAATACAATCCATCGCACGATTGTCAGGCCAAGTGTCATATCCTATTAGCGCCTACTGATTTGGTAAATGTATGCCACGACTTGTTAGATGGTGATGCACTTAACGATACAGCCATCGATGGAATGGAGATTCCAGAAATCAGTTTTAACGCCCTATCAGGAGAATATAGTCCTTGTACGTTACGATTGAAAGGGACTTTCCAAGAACATACCCTTAACATATTGGTGGATAGTGGCTGTTCATTCAATTTTATAAAACCTGAGGTTGCTCGCCGTTTAAGTGTTCGCGTCACGGATATTGAACCATTCAAAGTTTTTGTGAGTAGCAACAAATTTATATGATGCAGCACCTGCAACTATGATGTTCCGATTTTAGTGCAAGGCATTTCTTTTCCAGTTGATCTCCACCACTTAGAAATCTCTAGTGCTGATATGATTTTTGGTTTATTCTGGTTACAAAGCTTGAGTCATGTGCTGACCGACTACAACCGATTAACAATGGAATTTGATTATCACAGGACTCCTATCATTATGCATGTTGAGCACTTGTTAAGTCCTAACCCAATCAAGAATCGCTGCATTAACCATATACTCCTTCATGATGATATTGCCTCATTGTGCACTATGCAATTTTGCTAGACAGATAAATCGAGTTCTACTTTTTTGCCAGTAGTTCAAGAATTGTTGACAGAATATGCTGTTATTTTTCAGGAGCCTAAGGGTTTACCACCTGCCAGGGATATTTCGCACCACATTCCTTTGCATTCAAATTCAAACCAATGTAGATCAGGCCTTATAAATATCCTCACTTTCAAAAAATGAAAATTGAACGTTTGGTGACTAAAATGCATAAGTTTGGTATCATTCGTGACAGCACAAGCCGTTTCTCTTTCCCAGTACTCCTGGTCAAAAAAAGGATGGCTCCTGATGATGTTTCTGTATACACTATTGTTGGGTTGGACTCGCAAATATGTGTCCAAAAATTTCAAATTTTCAAGCTCATTTTTTTCACTTAATTGAGGGGAGTGAGAAGTCAAAATTGGAGTGTTTTTCCCCCGCAGCATTTGGTATGGTGTATTTTACAGAGAAACATTAAAAAGAGAGAAGGGAAGTGAGGGAAGAAAGAAGCTCCAGACCAGCTACTCTATTTCTATGATATCTGATTTGTTCACCGTTAGATCGGGCTGAAAATTTTACAGAATGTTTGTAACACAATGTTATTCGTTCTGACCGTTCGGATTATTATTTTGAGGTTTGAGGTTGGAGATATTTTCTTCTTACAGAAGCCCTAATTTTTGGTGACTCTGCACAGACTAGTCGCAGAGAAATCTTTATTTCTCCTTAATTAACCGTTGGATCGAGCTGAAACTTCGACAGCAGTTCCCAGACATATGGTTATTGGTTCTGACCATTGGGATTATCGATTGGAGGTTTTGTATGAGAGAAATTGTGTCTAAACAGTAGTCCTATTTTGTGAGATATTCTCTCTTTGGTTCTTCATTGTAAACTTTATTGCTTTGTTGATATTGGCTGGCCGTTTGCATGAATTTTTGCACTTGATTGAACACTCTTGTACTCCTTATTTGATTATAGTGGAGCTTGATTGACTGACTTGAACCCGTGGGTTTTTACTTCTCACATTAAGAGGATTTTCCCACATAAATAATTCTGTGTCTTTGTGTTTGTTGCTGTCATTTGTTATTGTTGTTGCTCCTCACAGGTTCTTGCAAGTTTGAGGAATTGTTTCCGCTGCTTACTTTAGATAATTGTGTTCTTGTGTTTGGTTTTCTCCATCAACTATCATATGGCCAAAATGCCATTACCATTTGTGATTCTTTTTCGATGCCTACAATTAAGGAGACTTTTGATGAATTCACCAAACTAGATTTACATTCAGGATATTACCAAATTCATATGGAGGAAAGTGACATACATAAGACAACTTTTCATACTCATAGCGGTCACTACGAATTTTTGGTCATGCCATTTGGACTTACCAATGTTCCAGCTACTTTTTAGGCTACCATGAATCAAATCTTTCGACCTTTCTTGCATAACTTTGTAACTGTCTTCCTTGACGATATTTTGATCTACAGCAAGAATTGAGAGGACCATCTTCAACATCTTCAATTGGTTCTGGAGACACTACGAACTCATTCTCTTTTTGCCAAGCTTACTAAATGTGATTTTTGCAAAGACTCAGTGCATTATTTGGGACATGTCGTATCAACTAAAGGTGTGGAGGTCAATAACTCCAAAATTGACACTATCTTATCTTGGCCATTACCCCACACTATCAAGCAGTTACGGGAGTTTCTAGGTATCACTGGTTACTATCGCCGCTTTGTACAGGGCTATGCCACCATTACTTTTCCCCTGACAGAGATGTTGAAACGCGACAATTTTCATTGGACACCTGAATCCGAAACGACATTCAAGTTACTTAAGCAAGCTCTGACTTCGACACCAATACTCGCTCTTCCAAATTTTTTGCTTTCATTTGAGGTTGAGACTGATGCTAGCACTAAGGGAATTGGAGCGGTTTTGACTCAACAAGGTCATCCATTGGCTTTCTTTAGTAAGAAGCTTTCACACCACATGAGCAACGCATCCATTTACGTGCGTGAACTCTATGCTATAACACAAGCGATTGCGAGATGACGACATTAGTTATTGGGAAGAAAATTCACCATTAAAACAAACCATAAGAGCTTGAAAGAGTTGATGTCGCAAGTAATACAAACTCCCGACCAACAATACTATCTTACTAAACTCTTGGGGTATGAATTTGACATTGTCTACCGTCTTGGGAACACAAATTCTGCTGTAGATTCCTTATCTCGATTGCCAGCTGAACATTATCATATTTACACTCAAGTGGAAAGCACAATTATATCAGAGTTACAGAATGCCAATACATTGGAGCCCGAATTCCTTAAGTTCCATGCACTTCATTGCCAGAACCAGCTCCCTCTGGATTTTGAGGTTTATAACAATATTCTTTTGTATTGTTCTCGATAATACATCCCACGAGACTTTCCTTTAGTGACCAAGGTGTTGTACGAAGTTCACTCTACCCCCACAAGGAGGACATGCAGGAGCCTTAAAAACATATAAATGAGTGGCGAAACAATTTTACTGGAAAGGGATGAAGCAAGCAGTGGAAAAATATGTGGCGGCATGTATTCAATGCCAACAAACCAAGAACATCACTACCAAGTCTCAAGGCCTTCTTCAACCTCTGTCGATTCCCACTACTCCATGGACAGAAATTTCAATGGACTTCATCGTCGACCTTCCTTCTTCTAATGGATTTACTGTAATCTTTGTTGTGGTAGATCGTTTGACTAAGACAGTACATTTCATGCCTCTCAAGACTAGATTCACAGCGAAGATTATGGCTATTGTATTCTTAGACTATATAGTTAAATTACACGGGTTTCCGTAGGGCATCGTTTCAGATAGAGATCCATTTTTCGGATAGAGATCCATTCTTTTTAAGTGTTTTTTGGCGTCAACTCATGTGTTCAGGTGGGATTAATCTTCGTTGCCTCGAGCGGTATCTTTGAGTTTTTGCTTCCGATCATCCACATAAGTGGCATACACACTTACCTTATGTGGAGTTAAATTATAATACTACGTATCATATTGCCATAGAGATGACCCCCCATCAAGCATTATACGATTCTAACCCAAGGTTGTTGCCATCTTATACGCCATGCAAGACATCAGTAGACGAGGTGGACTCCATGCCGATCGATTGACAAGAAATTCAGGGTGCACTACAAGCTAATCTGACTAGAGCACAAACTTGAATGAAAAAAATATGCCGACTCTAAACAATTTGACAAGAATTTTGAAGTGAACCAATGGGTGTGGGTAAAATTTCACGCTTACCATCAACAATCTGTTGCTCGCAGACTCTACTTTAAGCTTTCTAAGCGGTATTTTGATCCTTTTCAGATCTTGGAACGCATCGGCAAGGTGGCACACTGACTAGATTTGCCATCTAATAGCCGAATTTCTCCAATTTTTCATGTTTCCTTACTGAAGACTTACTCGGGTCCAACTCGTCCTGCTTCCATCATGTGCGATGACCTTCTGAAACATCAGTTACCTACACCATAGGCTATCATTTCTGAACATAATTTCCCAACTCCAGAGAAAAATCAATACCAAGTTTTGGTCGAATTAGCTAACAAGCCACGCGAAGAAGCTACTTAGAAGTCATGAGATATTTTAGTCAACCTCTAAGGCAGCCCTTGAGGACAAAGTCCTTTTCCATGGGAGGGGTAATGTTATGACTCACAAAGATAAAACAACACAACTAAGGATTAAAAGTGCATCTTCATGGGCAACTGATTATATTGTTTAGCAGATAATAGAATTTCCTTTTGTTGGTTATGTTATCTTATCTTTAGCTTAACTTATTTTAAATTTAGTTATTTATATATATCATTATTAGTTTCTCTTAAAGACACAAGATATTAAAATTCTATTAACTTATGTCTCTCTAAATAAGTTTATTATACAACTTTCAATTACATAAACAATTTAAATTAATTTAAGAGATTATCTCTTATAAAATTTCAAAATTTGACTCAAATAAAGCTCTAACACATCAATTACCTTATCCCCTCTCTTGTTTCAGCTTTCATTCAAGATAGTGGCATTGTCATAAAACATCTAATGTTAACTTAAAACAGTATCAAATTTATTATTTAGTATGTCATTTTAAATGACATATTCAGCTTAAAGAGTTAGTTATATATGTATCATAACTTCAACTTCACATTAAATATAACTTATTGTTTAAAAAAAATATAAATTATAATAATTTAATTGGCAAAAGATAAAAAAATCATTATAAATTATAAAAAAAATCATTATAAAAAAGGTGAGTATCAATATTTTATCTATAAATATTTAACATTAGTGTCATTATTAAATATTTACAAATATTCAACTTCTACATTTTTTGTAACGAAAGATGAAAAAAATATATTTTATATTATGTTTAATATAATTTTATAATTTTACAATAAAAAAATGTATTTTAAAAGATACGATATACTAATGTCGATAAATTTTTAATTTATAATTATAAACAATTTCCTTTTTATCATAATTTGAATATTGAATTTTGTGATCAACCCAGTAAAGAAATATCACCTCTCTCTAATGCGAGATCCTAATTTTGCATAGGAAATAAAAATTGAGAGTGGGCCAGTGGAGTCCCTAATTGAATTAATTTGTGTGTGCGCGGTATTTGATTTGAATGAGGGAAACTGCAAAACCCTAAACCCTGTTTCTTTGTGTCTGGATGAGTTCAGACTCATCGATAGATAGAGATTATGAAGAAGAAGCTTCTCATCGCCCTCTCCTTCCGCTCCAATCATTACTTCACTCCCAATCCCAAACACTGTAACTTTCTTTCACTTCCCATTTTCTCATCTTCTTTCTCTTCTTCCTAAGTTTTCATACCCTTGTTCTCTGCGGTACTTTCTGTTTTATTTAGTTTCTCATATTACCAGTTTTGTGTGTTTTTCATAAATATTTTTTTTTTGTAAGTACGGAATAGAAATGAAACTAAGTTTATTAAATAATTGCATTGTTTTATTTCGTGGTGCTTTAATGAGTTTAGTGCATGTTTAGTTTCATGTGCCTAGAAATTGAATTAGAATGGGTGATTGGGTCAATGGCATTGTTTGTCATGTTTTTCTTAGTTTGTTAGTGTTTAGGGTTTTTGGAGTTTTTTTATGCATGTTATGTATTAGTGGAGTTTGGAAAGGGTGGGAAGGTTGGTCCTACTTGATGATATTAATGATTTTAAAGCAAGAGGAATAGTTTGGATTTTTGTAGTAACTATATATATAGAGGATTGAGTTCTTCCATAAAAATATGTCTAAGCTCTAGCCTTCATGCTCTTGATTTTTACTTTCTGGGAAAGCATTTATCAAAGTATATCATGGTTTTGCTGCCTTTTATCTGTTGAATGCTAAGATGTTATTTGAAGCACGTCTATGTGAACTGGTACTTTTTATTTTATGGAGGTTCTTTTTGTTAGTATCAATTGCTGTTATGCAATCGCAATCCCTTTCTTTGGAATTGTGGTTGTAATATTTTGCTGACAACTTACTGAGATGTCGTTTTTGTTGTTGGATTATGTAATCATAGTTCTATTGTGTTGTTTTGCAGTATGCTGTGAGGTGTGCAGTTCTGTTGATCCATTGAATGCTCAGCAGCGTGGATGGTCATATGCGGCTTCTGTCCCTTCTGAGGCACCAGATGCCCCGAAAGCCCGAAAGAGGGTTCCAAGACATGAAAGGAGAGCTATGGTGGAGTCTTTTGTGAACAAGTATTTTCTTTGTTTCTTTTGAAGTTGATGCTTTATCTAGCATTTTATGAGCTTTTCTGCATTATAATTCATCCTGGCATTTTGGCATTCCTGACCTTTTTAGAATATGTTTAACATGCAGTTAGAATTCAAACAGATTTGGCATCTTAAGATTGTATTGTATTTTCTTTCTTCTCCCTTTGTTTTTGTCTTTTTTTAGGATATGATTTATAGAGTTATATTGTGGATTCAGCAGGGTATATACAAAATCCAAATTTGTATTGGAAACCTACTAATTGGGACTAGATGGCATTCATCCAAGCTTAAGGATTTCAAAAGCAAACAATCCTGCTTTGTTGTTTAAACGAAAAGAAGTATTGCATCCTACAAAATTATATGGGGTTATAGAATAAATTATGGATAGCTGGAGCTAAAAAAAGAAGAAATGACATTCTTATCACCATGCTTGAGCTAAAGGGTTATTTTTTTATTACCTATCCTGCTTATTGCCAATCTTCTGTTTATGGTTAACAATAGAATAATGTGTTTACATAAATTCTTTAAGTTGTCCTACCTTAAGGTATTCTGGTCACTTTCTGGTTTAGTTCATACTGTAGTAACCATTCTCTGTATTTATCTCACACTTGTGTACTAGTTTTATACTTTTATTCCTGGAGTTGTTACCAAATACAAAAACCTTTGTAATTTAATAATGTTGTCCCTGTTCTGTGGTGAGAAACTGGATTTCCCTAATTTACTAAAAAAGATGAAGAAAAAGTTTGATGTGCTTAAAAAATCCCTTCTTTTTTTTCTTGAAATAATTCTAACATCAGATCAGAAACACTGTCATCGTTTATGGATTTTAGTTAACAAGTCAAATGATGTGGACCACCGTTAGAACGATATGTCTTATTACTTATTAGCCATTATGGAATAATTGAATAAATTTTGTTTCTCTGCAGGTATAGAGCAGAGAATGCCGGGAAATTCCCAAAAGCATGGGACACCCAGAAACAAGTTGGTGGCAGTTTTTATGTTATCCGGGAAATCATTCAGGAACTAGAATATAAGTCAAAAGTAAATTCTTCAAACAGCATATATGAGATTTTGGTGGAAAAGCAATTTGATGAGAGTAAACTTCTGACCACTAAATCTGTGAATGTTTCATCTAGAAATATTGAGCTTGCAAAAGACAGGCCTATTCTAGATGATTCTCAATTGGTAGTTTTAGATGACATTGACAAAGAGACTGTTAACACTGCTTCTGAGCATCCTGAAGGAAAGAGAGGGCCACAGACTTCCTATTGGGAGAGGAGGTTGTCTGAAGAAGTTGAAATGTCTACACCAGTAAGCGTTGACATTAAGCACCATTTTTTGTTTTAGTTGTTATGGATATATTAAATATTTAAATATAGTATTTATGGATAAGCAATACTCATAGTCCTACCTGATAAGAGTATATTTTTGTTATAGTTATTCTTGTTTACATGTAGATATCCTGATTCAAAGGTCAAAAGGGAAAAGTAAAATCTTTATACTTATATTTTTGCACTTTTTCCATTCAAATGCAAATGCATTACTGATACAAAGATGCTTTTTATGTTTAGTTCTGATTCAAATGCATTTCTTGTTCCCATTTACTCTATGGGTCAGTTTGGCATGGTGGAAAACATAGGGGTGAAGAATTTATGGATCTTTTATACTAGTAAAATTGTGAAAATATTTTCACTCTCATTTTTACCTCATATGAAACTGACCCTAAATTTCAAAGCTTCAGACTAAAAGCCACTGCCTTATCCACTGAACCTTATCTACATCCCCTGCCTGACATCAAAACAAGTTGTGCGCTTGTAAATTTTGAATAATATCAATCATAATAAATACATTCTGTCAGGAAGTTACTTACCGAAAAAGCAGAGGAATGATAAGTGTTCTAATTGATCCGTTCCAGCAAAACTGCATGACATCCCCTTTTGTTGTTGATTAATAGTAGTTTCACTCTGTTTGGCAGTTCTGGCCTACTAAATCATCACTGTTATTAATTTTTTAATGAAGTTAATTGAATAATATGTTTTGGTAAATTTAGAGAACAAGTGATTTTCGTGTAATACTTGTAATTTTCCTTTCTATTTTGATGACAGAGTAATCATTGTGTTGCATCTGAAAGTAATATTGTGGAAAAGTGTTCTGAGGAGTCTTACCCATCACGTATTCATATGCTGAATGATGTTGTTAAGAATGAGGAAGCTATCTGTAGTTATTCTGATTCTGTTGCACCAGAAAGTAGGCTGCCACAAGAGGAAAGAGAACAATTTTCTCCTTCATTTAATGAAAATTATGGTACTGGTTATGGCAAGGTTCAGGGCCCTCAATATGACTTTGTTGATATGGAAGATCATAAAAAAATGGAGGAAAATTGCATTAAGAAAGCTGGTTTTGAGAGAAGGGAGCAACCTGCTTTGGAAGGCCTGTCTAAAGAGCTTTCTCATTCAAATCTCCAGGTGCCAAATGATGAGAAGAGCGAGGAAGCAGTATCTAGTTCTTGTTCTGTTACACAAGAAAGACACCTGCTAAACGAAGAAATAGAACAATTTTCTGGTCCATCTATTGAAAAATCTGAAAGTAGTTGCAGTGAAGGTCAGAGCCATGATTCTAAGTTTATTGATATGGAAAACCATCCAGCAATTGAGAAAAAGAGCTTTGGGAAAGAAGGATATGAGAGAAAAGAGCAAGAGACCTTAGAAAACCTTCCTGCTGCAGATGGTCCAAAGCATGAAATCAAGAAATCTCAAAGGTCTTCAGAATTGGATGAGTCCGAAATGTAAGTCCTTTCATAGCTATAGATTTATAGCTTTGTTATTTTTGTCTAGTACTAATATTATAGTTTTTTGCATTCTCACTTGAAAAATACCAGCACTAGTCAATGACATTGGAATGATACAGAATTGGGTGCGGTGAGGATACATGTAGTTGAACAGTTAAATATTCCAATGAGCACTGCTCAGTGTTTGTGCATAAAACATTAACAAACAATTTCTAAATTATATAATAGTTTATTCAATGATGTAGAGAAGTACAGAAGAACAGGCTTGTAGAAAACATTAAAATTAATTTTTATTACTATGTTACTATACAAATAAACAACTCGTACTGATACTCATAGGGAAACTGTTTATTTACACTATAGAATACTCAGAAGAATAACATGTTGAAAACCAATAAAGCATGTTACCTCCTAGTCTTATAGTCTAAAAATTAAACATTGCAATGAAGTTTACATGAAAGTATCATTTTACGCATGAAATGAAACCGAGTCATTACTTTTTTTAAAAAGGTTCCAAAGAAAAAACAAAAGGAATGTTCATGATGCCACTTCTATTTGTAAAATATGTTTGCAATAGCTTAATTGCCTGTTTGGTAACACTTAAAATTTCAAAAAATAATGGCTTATTTTTCAAAAACTCGATTGGAAAGCTGACAATATTAAATGATTACTTAGAAATAAGCTAAACCAATATACTGTACAATTATACACAAGAAAAATTGAAGTATCGGTACTTATTCTAGTCATCAGAGCATGATAAGCACCAGATATCGGTACATCTACTTTGTACATTTATAGATTATAGTGTTTTTAGGGTTTTGGAACCAATGTGTATGCTCTACCTGAAACATATTAATGAATTGGTTGCATGTGCAAAGAATATACTGCTTTCTTATGCAATCTTTCCAGTTTTTCTTTTTTTTTATTTTCGTTAGATCACTTTATTTGTTTTATTGTCTATATGCTATATTCTTTTCCTGCAATATTGCGGAGGAAATTAAGGTTGCTTACATTCTCTCAAATACCCAGTGACAGCTCTAATAATAGGGAGACCAGTGTTGCAGTGGATTCAGAGAATTCAACTTTGTGGGGAAATCTTAAGTCATTTGCCAATGGCATCATAAATATCTGGAGAAAATTTTGATGCTGTATGAATGTGTATGGTGCAACTTGCAAGAAATTCAATATTATTATTGTATAACACAGATGGTATGTATAGGGTTCTCGAAATTCCTTGGCTGTTTTTGGCATGCATTACCTGGCATATTCTTGCAAATTCTATTCTCTTTTCTAGCTATCCTGTGACATTTCCAGAGGTTTTACAGCCAAGTTTCATCTATGATCCAGTTGGCTACTCATTTTAAATGTAAGACATTTGCGTGAGTTTCTAGTTTCTCTATTCCATTGGTCCCATCTAGGGGGAAATCTGTACTCTGATTCCCGATCCAATAAGTTAGCTTCCCATTGTAAATGATTTTCACTATACAACAGCAACAACCAAGCCTTATCCCACTAGTGAAGATGATTTTCACTATATTGTGAGCAAAAGGAAAGAAAATGCATGATATTGCAATTTACTCCCCTTCTCAAGTGTTTATGGAGTTTATGCTTATTTATAAATTTCAGCAGCAGAGAATGGAAGGGTGAATGGCTGCAAGAAAGTCAAGGTCAGTTTTCACATCTATTTATGATGGGGAGATTTTTGCATTTTGGACAGCATTCGAAGAATAACCAACTTGAGAATAAATTGAGTTTCAAGTACTGCATCTTTTTTCCCATAGACATAAAACTCAGAAATTGACAGGGGTTTGAATTTTATTTTTAACTTCTAGCATAAAATATACTGAAAAATCCATTTTGTTTGCTATATTTTCGTCCAAATTTGCAAAGCTGTGGTTTGGTAATTAAATCAAAAGTAAACACTGATATCATGCTTATGTTTCATCACCTTGTGCATTCACAATTACGCATTAAAACGTCTAATGTAATTTGCATACTGTCAAATATGACCAGATTAAGGCGTGTAAATGATTTGGCAAGTCTTTTTTTTTTTTCTTTTATAAGATAATGTATTTTCTTTGGTATATGGCAGAGAACGATAATTAAAGCTATAGATGAAAGTGGGGTATATATATATTGTATCTTGGTAGAGGACGATTCAGGGTACATGTAATGTAAAGCTGGGCATCGTTTGATTGGCCCTTTGCCATCCCATATCCACAAATGAAATGACAGTTGAATAAAAAATAGTTCTGCAGCAATGTGTGTAGTGTATTCCTTAATAGCTCTGATTTTTTTTTTTATACAAAATGTTATTTTTCAATGCAATAATATTGGGATTTGACTAGGGATAACGTGATGTTCCGAGATCAGGTGCCTATTTACGAAGAGATTCTTGCATCGATATATCTAGTTAGTTTGTAAAATCACCTTCGAAAAGAAAAATATGGTTAATGAACTCGCAAGCTCACAAATCTAAATTAAATAAAACAAATGAATGGGAGACAATTCAGTGGAGTGAAGCATGTGAAAAGGTTCCATTTGGTTCAACTAAATCAGAATGAAGGCGTGCAAGTTGCATTGCCTTATATTGCCTTTAAAGCGAGAATTTAAAAATATATTTATAATTAATTTATATAACTTCTATTGTAATTTGAATTTGCTAAAATTCAGGCATAGATGCATTTACCTGATCATTTTAGTTATACCTTTTTCTTCGGCTTTATTGCACTGGAGTTTGAAGGCAATGCTGCTACTAAGAAGAAATTGGGTATGGTGATATGTTTGCCCTCGGTGACCTTAGGTTCCAAGTATAAAAGTAACAAATATTTAAATTATTTTGTTAGCAAGCGGGTGTATATTTGTTTTATCACACGCGGTCATTTGTTATTATTACTTCAAATCTTCTCATATAGTGAAACACATTAACATAAAAAGATTGGTCATTCTTCACCGCAGAAAATGGGAAAAAATAAAATAAAGAAAGATAGATCATTGTTGAAGCTAACGTGTATTTGCCAGAGAATGAGAGGCTAATATTTGTTTTGCCCATTTGCCTACCTGAATTGAATAGTATTTGTCTAGATCATGTAGGATGCTCTTATATTTCTTTTGTAGCAAACAAAGATGCGTCACTGATTTCATCACGTAGCTGAACCATTGGCACAGTAGGGTAGTATAAAATTGAAGAATGACAGCTTTTAGCTGATATTGCAAGATAACTATAACTCACGTATTTTGTATATTTTAACACTACAAGATGCTTCTTTGATAAAATTAATGTGGTGGCTTTTGCAAACAAGAAACTCCATTCCTCAACTGTTTTAAATAAAAGCAACATCAATTTAATGTCTGATTCTTATATCTCAGTTTAGTTCACTAATCAACATTTTATATTAGCTCCCCCAACTACAACATTAGAATGTTCTTATAGAATTTTTTTTAACACTTCATAAATACTGCTGGCAACATAGATAGTGACTTTTGGGTATCAGTAACTACAATGATTATTGTAATATTTAATAATATCAATACATTGAATTGTATTAATTTTCATAATTTTCAATATAAACTTACTATATATAATTTATTATCTGCACAAGTAAGAAAAATCATTTTAAAATAGGCCATAGCAATGCATAAGCACAAGACGCTGAGTACCAATTATAGATTGTAGCAGATAAATATACATTCTAAAACTAATAAATCATATATAAGTGGCAGTGAAACGGAGTGGATAATAATTTTTTTTACTGTATTGGAGCAATGTATAAATGATGAATACCTAATCTTAATTTGAATTGCTGATAAAGCTATTGTGTATCTGTGTTTCTCCTCTGATTATTTGTATTATGTTGAAGCAAACTACACAAGTTTGCTGATATAACTGGCATTGGGTGCTTGGCTGGCTTTTGCTGGCACTAGTAATAATTGAGTGCACATCAATCACCCAATAAGCCTTCCAACAATTATATGCTTAAATAATTTACTGCATCCTTTTAGGGTGCTCATCCCTTGAAAGAGGCCTTAAAAATGGGATTCAAAGCCTTAATTTACTACTTTGACTAATCCATTTAGTGGCTCCATAATAACCCAACTCTTTATTTCCATTAGACCCATTATTGTGACCTAAGAAACGGAATGTTTCCCCCTCGAAATGGATTGTGTTTTCTACGTGAGAAGGTCAGGTGAAAAGAGAAATACATACAAATATTTTAAGAAAAATGTTAACCTTTTGAATTTAAACAACTAATAATAATAAAATTGTACTAAAAAGATAAGTATTTGTTACACTTTATAATTTTAATATAATGAATGTGTTATTTTCTAATAAAAAATTGTTACTTTTGATGCTTAAACTCGTCTAAGGTTAATAAAATCCAATTAAAATACACAATAGAGTCTTCATCTCCACTTTTGAAGTGTAAACCTTTTTTTTTATATTATTATTATTTTATTTGTTGTTTAATGAGTTTGATTACGTGACTAATTAATTCCATATATATAAACTCATTAAATAATAATGAGGCAACGTATCATTGGATGTAGATGTATACCTTTTTCTAATCATTAATAATATATCAAAATTAAACTCTAATATCTTAACTAGCAAAGTTTAAAATGTGATAAAGCACACTTAAATATGAACAAATAAATTAATCCTCCAAAGCCATAAAATATTATCTCCATTTGTAATTATTTTCCGATCGTGTGAATTCAAATAAATTATTGGAATTAGAAGGCACTTTGATTATAAAATAAAAGAATATATATATATATATATATATATATATATATATATATATATATATTTATTTAATTTTGTTTGAGTGTTCGAAAATATTGTTTGGGAACTTCCGTATGTTATTTGTTGCTTGTATAGATAGGCCTTTGTTGCACGTTCTATAACTTCGATGGAACGAATTCTCCTCTGTTAATTTTTTATATGACGATGTCGTGAAAATTATGTGTTTATCTCTTCTCCATAAATATTTATAAATATTAATAGGGTCCCGTCTAATTAATGCATATGAAGAGAGAAATAAATAAAAAAATTTCACTCGATGAAAAATCAACATTAGAGCTTCATTCTCAACTTTGATCATAGAATTAATTTCCAGTTGGATAATTTCCTTAAAATAAATCATTAAGAAAATTTATAAGTTAATAATTTTTTGATAGGCATGATTTATCATGGCGCTCTTTGATACTTTGATCAATTTAGTCACTCTACCCAATGGGAAAAAGGCTTTGTTGTTCTATTACAAATTTTATTTATTGAAATTTGTTTTAGTACAATAGTGTTGTCTGTTGCCAAGCATTTGTTGTTTCACTTATTAGATTTAAATGGAGAGATTTGTACAGTTGTGGCTCCTACTTCTAGTTACCTACATTGATGGTTGTCAAATTATGTCTGTTCTAGATGACTAGGGTCTAGGAACACACCTATTTAATGCCTTTCTTACTATTTCTAGTCTCAATTGATATGAATATGATGCTCTAATCAGAATATTTGCTCAACAATGGAATTTTTTATTAGAAATGGTGTCTCTTTCGTCACTGTAATGTGGCAAATTGATTAATGCATTGCTACATAACTACATAGCGTAAAAAGGATAAGTCAAACCTAGCTAACTTTTCTTGATGACAACCTCTACTAGTTGATGATTATGCACCTTATTTTGTGCTCAAGAATTTGAATAGAAAAATTCATCACACTATTAAATGCCCATCAAAAGCACTCTTTTGGACCAGTTAAGAGACCCTTTTCCTTATATATTCTAATTATAAAGTCATAACAAGACACAGCTTCTTCCCTCTCCTAAGGAATATACAGCAAGTTCTTAAATGTTATGTGAAGAATGCTAGCAACATACTCTGTAGTACACTCTTTTTAACTCACTCCTAACTATTGGTTACAATTTATTGAAAACTACATAAAGTTTCTTCAAAATTTATTGCTAGCATTCACTCATGTTGTGTGTATATATCATCAGCAGAATCACAAGGTGGATAGATACTTTTTGCTCTAGGAAATTGGAAATCTAATTTCGTTCTCTGATCAGTGAATTTGAAAAGTTTCTCTAGACTTCATTGGGAAGCTGTTGCAGTTTGATTGTTCATTCTGGCAAGGTATATTACATACTTAGTAACAAAATTACCTTATCATTTTTTACTCATATTTTCATCATCACCTTTTTAATTGTTTCACACGCCACAAAGATTCATAGTATCTATCATTTGGTTGTTAAGATGTGAGTTTTTGTGAGATTATGAAAGAGTCAGCAAATCTTCTATACAGTAAAAATTGTGAGTATTCTGTGGTAGCCGTCAAGTAGTAGATATGTGATTATCATTTGGATTGCATATTAAGACAAAAATTGGATTCATATTCACTAAATAATGTTGTCAGATTGCGATCTTGTTCAGACTTGTTTTATTTAATTTTTCTTGTATCTTTACATATTCAAACTAGTTTAAAAATTAGATTCTGGGAATGATTTCATCATGTAAAATACCAAGTTAACATGGTCCTACCAGATCCACCTAAGGTCAACTAAGCATGTTCATAAGTTACAAATTCTTCCTTTTCATTTTTTTATAATAACCAGTTCACATTTGCATTGACAAGTGATTGCCATGTCTGGCTCACTATGAATATTCAATTTTCTCTGGCAGGTAGAGGTGTGATTTGTTTTTCTCTCCATTTTATTCCACACAGAAAATGAGAGAAAATATTTCAGAATCATGGCTAGTTATGATCATTGTGATATTTGCCACTGCAATATTTGCAAAACTAATTCAATTCAAGTTAAGGAAAGAAGATAAAAGCAAATGCAGATTACCACCAGGAAGGAGAAGCTGGCCTTTGATTGGT